ACGCTGCGGGTGGCCTTCCGCCTTCTTGTCGATCGCCCAACTAATTAGCACCACAGCTTATCATAAAAGGAAACATTCATATTCAAGGCAAGCAGGTAACCAAGTAAATAGTTCGAGAAGAGGTAGGATAAAGAAGAGTGGTACTCACCAGTTGCCACTTGGACTTGCGTGTAGGGTCCGCGATGGTGATGAGGAGCCTGTGGATCATCTGCACCGTGCCTTCGTAGTATACCAACGCAGACTCATAGTTCCCCATCAGTGCCATCTCTCTCGCCAACTTCGTGTTCTCGCAAATTTCGCCAACAGAAACTGCCATTATTGTCATTCCCGCTGCGTACATGTAACCTATCCGCAATGAAAACGTTATGGTTCTTCGTAGAGACGGAGACCCCTTCGAAGATTATAATCGCGTGTGACATCCAATAAATCCGAATGTAACACTTCGCATTTTCACAACATATTCTACACGGCTTTCATTGTGTTTATGCGTTATTCACTTGACACATTGGAAATGTATGTTTACATGTGGTACTACTTATCTCATGGTTTCGCTGAATTTATAAAAATATGACCATATTTTTGAGACAAAACAAACTTATCAATTTACTTTAGTTCGACAGTTCACAATCACAATCGCAAGTCAACTGCCAACCTAAATCAATTAGCCAATGACGAACTTGCAATGTTAGTTTGTAAAAGTTGGCACTACTGAAGTTTAGTTCGTTTTCTATTACAAAAAGAAAACCAACAATAGTGGTGGATAAAATTAATCGACTAAAAATATTGTTTAGGTGAAAAATGTTCTGATCCGTATTTCCTTTGATTTAATAATGAACAAAGCGATACGATTTTCAAATTCAAACCAACAAGGTGGTGCGGGTGTTCCTAGACGGGCCGGCCTTTTTGCTACCGGGCTGTTTCGTTACTATCAGGTATTTTTTTATTTTGTAAATAAAACATTTCCTCATAATAGGGTTTTCTCCTGTATCGTGAGTGCGATTACAAACATATAAATTCTTAAACATAAACCACCCAGACCCAAAACACCAATATGTGAATCACACAAAGTGTTGGTCCGTACGGGAATCAAACCCGCGACACGTATAGCAGCTAGTTGCCCAGCAAGTACGCCAACCGTGCCAAATACTTGTTTGCATTCTACGTCAAAGATAGGCAGCAGAATGGTGATGTGGTAATCGTAGTATCACTAGATATTTTTTACGACAGTTTCTGATGGATACAAGCCCTGCAGCCTTTGCCCTAATGTCATCCAGCCACTGGACGTAGGTTATTTCCATAGTTTGAGTATGTGGTATGCTCAGGACTAAAAGAGTTTAGTGTTGTGGGTAACATATTTTTGTATCTTTTCCACGTTTTATTTATATTTGAGGGTGTGTATAACAATGGAATTTCACAGTCAAAACGTTATTTGCAAAGTAGACCAACCGTATTCCGACTGCATTCTGGACTTTGATGCATTTATTGGTCTTATTCGTTTAACGAGGTAGGCGTCATATTATCATTTTTGTGATATTGAGGACTAAGGTGCATGATGGTTATAAGACATCCATCATGTAAGGTGGCATAATTATATCAAATATACTGTAAGGCACATTAAGATTTGGAGAAAATAAAACATTGGCGCTAACAATAAACGATATATTCGTAGTTTTAGATATAATACAGAGTATGAAACAAAAATACAATCTGCAGTTATACAGTACATACGTCTATTTACATCGACAACTCTCTTCCTATCGTCACCTAGCAAAAGTAATAGTCAATCGTTACAACTTAAATAACCAAATAAAAATAAACCTTTTACATTTCCCGACATTGTGTTAGTCAACGTCGCTACCGTCTTAGTTTTTTTACTTATTTTTCCATTTATTTATGTTTAACTACCAATAAATGTCAAAATATCAATAAATACAATGATTACTAAAAAGAACCGACATAGGCGATTAATTTAAATAAATATTTTTATTGACCATCAAAATTTTGTTTAGCCTAATCGCCGATGTAGGATCATTTGCTTATAAAATAAAAATAAATACATTTTTATGGAAATCTCAATAACTTAAGGAAAACTACATATATATAACCAACTATAATCAAACTTACTCTACCATGCTACAAGATAAAAATAATGACATTTCAGTAAGTTGCAACACTGACAAAAAAAGTGACCAGCAATAATTTTGCAATTTATTGAAATGCAATCTTCACGAAATGTCTGAGCGCCTTAAAGTAAAAAATAAAAAAAAATATGTTACATCTATTGAGTATATTTATTTTTTTCTTTGTCAATTTTTACAGTCATGTACGTATTTGACTGTGGAAGTGTAGCGAACACAGATAGCTAGTTGGGTCGTTTCATTAGTCGAATAATTACTATGATGGCTAGCGTTAGTAGCTAAAGTAACATATTGTGTACATCAAATTATTCTTTGGATAACTTACTCTAGACAAAGCTAATAAATATTCGTCGCTATTGGATATGGTATTGTGAGTATATGGATGTATATTTTGTGTAGTAGATCAGTGCTGCTAGGGACACTATTTAGACTATTCTATCTCCCAGATAGAAGAAAAACTTTTGTACGACCCACGATAGCATACTAAGTAGTTCAAAGTAAACATAGTGTAATTTTATGGCTCAATTCTTTCATTGATGTGAAGGATAACACAATTTACATTATAAATATACACCCATATACCTCACATTCCTTTTTAAATTAAAAATACACGTAACTGCATTATTCTACGCACCTAAAAGAAATATATAAACCAAAATCTTAACATAACTATATGCACCAGATTAAAAGAGATTATAACAAGATATACAAAAAAAAACTTATTAAACTGAACATATTAGAAGAATTTGGTGTAACAACTATTTATATATATATGTATATCTAGCACCAAATTGTATATACAACTTATATAAACAGAAGAGACAAGATGGGGACTAGGTAAATCAATCGTTGTGGCGAAATTAATATGGCGTTGATTAAATATTGTGTAAAATGCAACACTTTTACAAAAACATTACAAAGTTTTAGCAGAGATTAATATTCGAAAGTTGAATATAATTTTGGGTAAAATTGGAACTGTGATAAAGAATCCTTTATTCTTTTATATCAACTTTAAGAGAAATATTTGCATGTTTCCTTTTTCCAATCTGGTCAAGAGGCTGTTGACTTAACTAAAATATAATTTAGACACCATTTATGTGGAAAATTGGTAAAATATTCTCTATTAAGACAAATTCAAACATGCTTTTTACAACATTAAAAGTAACGGTAAAAATCTCGAGACCTGGAGAAGCTCTTGTATATTATTTTCTGATCCCTATTTCTTGATCACGAAAACTCTTAATGCATTAATTATGGATCCGAAATACAGCCTATCACGGGGCACGAATTGGAACAACTAATTTGTATATTCAAATTTTAATTAAATGACACAAAGCATAAGATATAAAATTGAGTTTGAAACTAGTTCTAATATTAAAATCTTTCGAGTCCATACAAAAAACGACGTCGGTACAATTCTACGTCACATTTCTAACACATAGCTAGCTATATAATTATATACCAACATGTACATGAAATAAGATCCAATGTTGAATTTATAAGTGGCATGCGGCATAAGCATTGTTTCCCTGTAAGTTTATTTAGATTTAAACTTTAACAAAATGTTATTTAAACTGAAAGTAGATTACACGTATTATCTTTCATTCTAAAAAAAAATATCAAAGTTTTGGGCGTTGGTAGTAATAGGAATAATATTTGAGATATTATGGCACAAGGTTGGAAAAAATAAATCACAATTGTTATAATACTGCTTTTCGTCCCATTATGAGAGCTAAAACTGAAACCCTCAACACAACCCAGCTTTATTGCGAATTTATGAGTCAAAAGGCTGATAAACGTTATCTGAGAAATAAATTGTTGCTGACACTGTCTTGTACAAACATTCTGATACGACAACATCATAATTATTCCGCAAATAACTTTTATGTAACCATTGAAAAATCAGCCCTATTAAGCCCAATTATATTAGGTACCTTGGTACCTTATCAGGCCTGGAGATAAAAACCCTATTTCCAGACTTACGACCACGAACTCATGTTATTACAATTGTGTTTTATTTTTTCTGTGAACGAAGCTAAAGCATTAGTAAATTTATCTGCATGAATGTATCAAATAGAGGGGATGACCCACGGTTAACGAATTTGAAGATAATGCAAGTCTATTATACCTTGACAACAATTATCCCATCTTTTGAGTTCAAAGATCAATCCTGTCGAGATTCACCTGAGTTAATAGATACCCAAAATAGGCAAAACGACTGTCTTTACAATAATTCTTTTAAATAAAATAAATTGCTCAATTGTATCGAAATGTTCTATTTACTTGCTCAAGTCATTAAAACAATTGACTGTTTACAATTCAATAGTTTCCTAGGTCAAAAATAAATTAATTCGACGTTTCAATACAATAAAATATTGAAAAATAACTATACTTTCATTCATCGATCAATCGATACACTAATTTTTAAATATGTTTTAGCAAATTTTTTAAAATTAGTAAGCTATTTGACGAAAAAATACTATGACGTCATAACTCAGTATATTATGCAAATTTCGTAGAAATGTATCGTTTTTGACATTTGGATAACAGTATTGAATTTGACTAGTTGGAAACTACCGTATTCCTTCTAAATTTGTTAGCCGGGGATCACTCAATAATAAATAATTTTAATATAATAGGATTACAATAATACATATATATATTTATATATAAACTCACGTAGCGTATGTATCACATATGGTGGTCCGATTCTTAGTCACATAGAAATTAGTAAGCAACACTATTACACTTACTTTCTTATATACTGAATGGTAAAAACACTGGCATGTTTTCAAGGATTTTTGACTATTTTTAATAGAACAAGTCTGTAATATAATTGTTTGAATCACTGTTTTTGTTAACGGGTGATTCTTCACATCAATTAAAAAAAATTGAATAATGTCATTATCCTCAACCGAAAATTAACGAGTCTGCTGATTAAAACACAGATAATTATTTTATTAAATTAAATCTCACCACTGCTTACAAGCAACCGATTAAAAATATTGTATAAAATAAATTACTAGGATGCTTAAAAACCTGGGAGGATAATGACTTGTTAAATAAAAGTTAAGGTTTTTTGGAGAATCACCCAATCCCTTATAACAGAGGGCAAGTATACTATTTTTAAAATGCATAAATTATTGTATTGGTGAAATCTTTGAGCACAACATAACTGTTGAAAAGCAAGTATCAAAATCAACCCTTGAAAACTTGCCAATGCCATGAACCATAATATTATTATTATTTTTTTTTATAATTTTATTATCTGACAAGAAAATATTTCCTCATAATACTTATAGAAGCATTTTTTTTGTAAATTTTTATTGGTAGTGTTTTTTTTTTCTAATATGGATTAAAATGAGCATTATTTTACGTGAATTTTGTGCGTTTTGTCAGAGCACATTGAACTGGGATGGTACTCTCAGTATTGATAAAGAAATCTATCGTAAAGCGACGGATTGTATTAATACATTCTCAATCATATTCTTTACCAAGTTTCTATTACCAACACAGCCGAGTCACCCAGCCCAGGTAGTATTAAATCACGTTTTTCTTCAAAATAATGTCCAAATACATCCATAAAGTATGTATTTTATAGTCTTTTACGCCGTACATTATTTAATATACATTAAAAGTACTTTTAAGCATACAAATAATTCGTTTGTCTCTAACACGAAACACCAATGTAGGTATAATTGTTATTTTTAATTATTTATTAAATATTAACATTTAAGAATACATCGAACATATTTATTTGAGCCTGCAATTTAATAACATTTCGAAAAACGCAATGGACGTATTTGTTTTCACAATTTATGTATTTTTGACAGTTCTAGTGTTGTTCTTTTTAGTCGATTTATTGAAATAGTAAGATTTGCCTTTTCTCAAATAACATACAAATCGCTAGTACTTTTTTCTGTCTTTTAAATGCTTGGAAATTATTCTATAAAATCTAGCGAATTTATTAAAATTTATTGTTTTCTAAGCTCATAGCATTCTGGTCTATGACTTACATTTAGTTGGCTATGACATCTAGATGTTCCTTGGGCATAGGTGGTAAGACGTGGACTTGCTTCGCTTTGCCTGCGTGGTAGACTTGGCCAGGGCTGAACGGTTCCAAGCGAGGATGCGCCGAAATATCCTTCTTTGGATCTATAAAATAGAAATAATGGAATAACGTTCACGTTTGTTGTATGGAAACCCCTCTGAAATATTTTTTTTATATTGTTTTTCATAATTTAGTTATTATAGCGGTTGTACTGTTATTGAAAAGTCAAAATAATTTATTTTTGACTATATCAAGTACCCAACAAATATAAACGCCGTTGGATGGTTAACTGATTTCTGCGCGAAGTATTGCAGGTTACTGAGAAGAAATGGGGTGGTTTTTAGTCATTGTCTGACACTCCCTCTCGCCTCACCAAGGGCGGGAGAAATCAAGTGATGATTTACCCTTTTCAAAATGGATTATTAATGAACAACTCTTTGTTCATTCGACATAATACAAACCAAATTTCGTTGTAACGGGTACAATTAACAAACTTTGTGTTTGTGACTCAGGAGTCCGGGGAAAATCTTAGTGTATACTTACAAAATTTTTGAATAATGAAATAAAATTATACCTTTGGTATTAGCAGCGATGTACTTGGACAGTCGGACGGTTGGGAGCGGTAAGTAGCCAGCGACTAGAGGCATAACATCTAGCGTCACATTCTGTGGTTCCGTGCTTGTACATTCCATTGTTAGTACCCCTGTAATAGAGAACAATATATTTGTATATGTATGTTAAATGTGTAAAAAAAGAGTAGGAAGAACAAGACAGACCTACATACTAGTGGACACCATACACACGCACGAAGCATCAAGTTTCATTAGAACCATTATTAACGAGTAATTTTTTTGTCGAAATCTGTTTTCCCTGGGTTTGTTTTAGGCCCTAATGAATAGATTGCTTATAGATATCGTCAGCAGCATTATAGCTTACTATCAGGTCATATAGATCGAATTAATATTATAAATGTTAAAGCAAAAACTGTTGAAAAGATTTGAATGAAGTTTGGTACACATAATTATATTTTTAGATTACAGTCTGAAATAATGTTTAACCTTTTTATCTCAGAAACGCGAACGAAATGGCATGCTGAAGCCAGTACTAATAAAATAATGTTTACCTGCAGTACGGCCCAAAACCGCCCACATCGTCTGATCAGCAAGCACTTCGTACATAAGCGACGTGTATTCAGTTTCGTTCACCTGAAAAACATACAACTTTTCGATAGTCCAATGTGCAAAGTGGATAGGTTTTGTATTTTAAAGAGCAATCGCATATTTTAGTATGGGGATTTTATAAAAGGAAATGAGATGTAAACAGATGGAGGATAATAACTATAATAAAATAGAAGTCAATCTTAGATTTCGAATTATTACTAAGAAATTGGAAAGCTCCAAAGAGTAGGAGTTCTTCAGCCGGCCAAAGGAGTGATTCCTTATCTACATTAAAGGATGTTGTAATATATTATAACATCATTTCAAATATTTCGAGTTATATGATAATACAAATAGCTAAATAATAGAGGAAAATTATCTATACTAATATCTTAAGCTGATGTGTTTGTTAGCTTGCTTGCTTCTGGGACGTGCTAGTATCTGGAACTATTAGTACGAACTGAATAGTCTTTTTATCGAGGAAAGCCGTAAATAAAATAACCGAGTAGTAGATTGCAACCGCGCAGTATTAGCTTGAATACATTAAACCACAACTTACCCTCTGCACACTAAGCTGCAAACAGCACATTTGCGAAGCCCTGCAAAAGTCGGAACCCTTACTGGGTTCCAATTTGGTCCTTATGACAAACAATGTAGTGTAGTCCTGTATGTCGAAGGGGCAGGTGAACGGCCTGCCGGGGCCCTCGACGTCCGAAGGACGATAGTGTACTGAGAATGTCGCCTTCATTGGACCTCCTTTTACCAGAGGATCTTTCAGCAGTTCCCACATGAATGAAGCTGTTGTGCCATCCGAAGCTACCATCTGGAAGTGAAATGGTGATGCTTAGGCAAGGATAAGAGATGGAGTGTCAAGATTTCGTGTAGGTATAGGTTTCTAATTGTATTTTTTTGGGGTTTTAGCAGTGTAAGACACACGGCTAAAAGCAACTAAAACCGAAACGAACGGAAATAAGGATTATTATTATTATTACACTTTGAGAAATTGCAACAATATTGCCGCAAGTTGTAAAACTTTTAAACTGTTTTCAGTTCAACACACTATTTGCAAAACAAACATAATGATTACTCTAATAAACGACCATAGCAGTTGGATTGACTTTCAAAGTTAAATGGAATGTTCTTAAGTCCCGTTGACTTAGGATCAGCACCAAAAATCACACGATGCATTGATATTTAGCTTTATCTTAAATTGAGCAAGGAGTCCAATTTAATCATAACTCAAGTTTAACTTTTAGCAACATGGCAAAGACCAATAATACCCTATACCTATAATAGATTACTTACCATATGATCAGAATTCTTAGGGTTCAAATCAGCTACCATATCATTGTTCCCATCACATTCCAGCTTGGGGTCCGTTAAAGCGAACTGCACCAGATGAACAACGGTGGACTTGAGGGTAATGTGGATGAATTTCCTCGTGTTTGAAGTAAGCAGTCGCCACGATGCTACCATGGGGGGTGTGAAGTCTAACGGCACTTCTGTCACCGCTTCCCGCCAGGGGCAGGTTAGCCAGACCTGTGGAAAAATTATATGATTGCCTTTAACTCTTTAAAACAGTTTTGCTATAGGTCTTGTGCATTTAACTTGGTACCTTTCCAGACTTAATTCAGATTCAGACTAAGATTAGAAGGGCATGAACTGCTACCTAGTTCCTACCTTTCCCTTTAATGGGAGGGGAGGGGGGGGTTTGGCCACAATATCTATACTAATATTATAAAGACGTATAATTTGTAAGTTTGTATGTAGGGGGTAATCTTTGGAACCGCTGGTCGGATTTCCAAAATTATTTTCCTGAGTGCTACTACTATAAAACCTCACGCGCCGATTAAATGGTGCCGAGCAGCGGTTAAAATCGCGCGAGAGTGGCTAGTCCTAGATAAAAGGCAAAATAAACACTTTTGATCGCTACATGTTTCTTTCTTTTGTTATTATTTCTAGATGGACAAGCCTTATTAATTCCTTCTACACGACTTTTGCGACATTCATAATTTTCACAAGCTTGTAAGCGCTCACTGCTGAGCAAAAGCCTATCCTCACACGTGGAAGGGTTAAGCATTAATCATCACGCTTGCCAAGGATGTATTGGCAAATTCAACCTTATAATAAGAAAGTTTATTATTAGTTCAGTTTTTCCTTTACAGAGTGGCGCTGGTAGATATCTGACCTTCTAGGACTTTAGAAAGTGCATGTAACTTGGAAAAAGTGCTTGTATGAGAAGCTTTCGGGTCTGAAGAAGAAGAAGAATTGGACGAAGATGCGTGCAAGTAATCTTATTATACAAAGAAAAATACACTTTAAAAACTCACAGAGTGCTCAATACTCTTCTCCTTCCTAGGCTGCAACGTCGCGAATAACCGAAGCGGGACTTTAGAGGTCTGGAATGGTTCCAAAGCCGGGACTTTGATGTTCAGCTCCCGAGACATCGCAGTATCATCATCAGCAAACCTGATTAGGAGGCCTGATGATGTTTTCAGGAGTATTGTTGTGTTCTGGAAGAAATAAATAGGTTCTACTTTGTGATACTCACAGACGGTGATGTCTTAATTACAATTACAATTTAAAGTAATTTGGGGCTTGATGTTTAAAAATCAAAGTAGTATATACTCTTGTGGACTAAAAGTGCATCAGTCATAAAAAAATGTGATGAGAAAAGCGATTTTATTGGCTAGCTGCTGAGAGCATTCGAGAGTGAATGTGACGTTCATATTTTGCCAGTTATGGCATTAGTGTGATGTTATAAGGGACAAGTCTATTCCTAATCCTACCATCAAGTATGTATGTCCAAAAGACCGAGACTCTGTAGTTCAATATTTTCAAAAATGCACTTTAAATAATCAAGCTATAGGCATGACATTTCACTAACATAAAGTTGACTCGTAGGAAATGAAATGAGCGAATATTCTCCTACAACATGAGTAACAATACGTGATAAAAAAAACCTTAATAAGAGTAAAGCAACATACCTCCTCAATATGCGAGCTCCCGCTATTCACGACCAGCTCAACAGCGTGTTCAAGTCCAGCAACTAAATCCTTCTTCGGCTCCACCTTATTCAAATAAACATTCACGCCCTGCGTCACTATTTCACATCCCATCTTCGTTCCTATCAAAACATTCGACAGAAACTCCAATTTTTCTTCAATCACCAAAGAGATCTGACCAAGTTTGAAGACCCCGCACTTGGTCGTCACAAAGTCCAAGACCAGGTCATTTGAGCCTGGTTTTAATGTTATACCTTTCACGGAAAAACAGTTTTCATAATTGTTCCGTATTGTCGCTGAAGGTTTTCGATATTTGCAACTGTCTGACCTTTTGAGCGTCACTTTTGGGTTTTGACATTCAACTGTGACTTTTTGGAGGGATTTGTCTTCTTTGTAATGTATTTGTGAGGTTATGTGTAAAGGGTTTAATAGTGGATCCTTGGGTTTTAAGTCGTCCAGTCTTATGCTGAAATAAATACAAATAGGTTTTATATAGGAACGATGTCTAGACACTAAGATACTGTGACCTCTGAGTTCGTTTCGGCATTTCTTCGCAGAGTAGTCAGTTAGGAAATAATTTAGTTTTATATTGACGTTTAAAAGGGTTGTTTTAAAGTCTATTCACAAAAACAAATTAACTACATTATATTATTATGTGTAGGTGCTGAGTTAAATTATAGGTGAATAAAACGTAAGTAATTTTTGGGCAAGTTTTAAAAATACTAGATTTGTATCAATAGTGCTTATAACTGTTTGACACTTAAAAAATAGTGAAACGAAGAGGGAATGACACACATCTCCTATTAAAATTACGTCAGCAATTAATTTCCGAAATAACATAATTATATTGAACTTAATGCAGTGACACTACAATAAATAAAATAATTCGTTAAGTTACGGTTACTATTACAAAAGAGTCATATCAACTAAGAGATACATTGAAAATAACGACTGACTTTTGAATAGAAGTCACAACGGGACTCTTATTTACGACTTGAAACCAGAGCTTGTCTCAGTTTATTTACCTAAGTAGTTATGCTCAATAAATTTAGTATATCTCAGGATAGTTAGCATCCAAAAATAACTAAAGTAATAAGTTAAAAATCTTACCTTGTAATTAAGTTAGTAGTTTCATTGTCAGCTTCGGGAGGCCCCCGTCGAGGCGACCCTGCACTACTGCTAACACTTAAATCAGTCTTATAACTTTTGACAGGCGTCCGTCTGTCCGTCCTATCTTCCTTACACCTCTCTATACTTATTGCTGCCCTGGTACAAGTCACATCTTTTGGCAAATAACTAACGACCGTCATGCGACATTGAACCTTATTGTCAGTGATATAAACACCGCGTTCCGACGGCACTAAACTAGCCGATACGATCTTGAAACATTCGTTCAACTCGGTTAGTACCGTTTCCGACTTCTTGCTGAGTTCATCGCGGATACATTTCATCATTTCCTCAAAATAAAAGTTTCTGACTAATATTTCTAGTTCGGCTGTACTCGCTATTGTTGCTGAGAGCTTTGTGTATCTGAAACGAGAAAAAGAACCTTTGTTATGTACGTATTTATCTATACATAATTTATTAAGAAAAGAGCATACCAGTCATCATTTTTAACAATAAAACATTACTTTTTATATTTTACAGTAACAATATACACAATCACATTTTTTTATCTTTTGTTAAACTATTAATAAATAGTTACAAATGTTTCAAACTAAAGTGATCAAACATATAAAATGGAGACAAAATACCCTCTTAAAGGAAGGAGGAATCTAATAATGAACCTCAGTAGGTAAGTAATCGGCGTCAGCAATGGACCAGAGGAGTTATAAGTGCGTCGTCGATAGAAAATTCAGTGTCAATAGTCTGGTCAAGCCGGCTTATGAGTAAAGAATCATGACTCTCCCACACTTATGCAAAATCAGTAATTATTATTGATTATGATCTTAATTGGGGCATGCAATGCTAACCTATAAGAAATCTCAATACTAACCATAGATATAAGAATTCTTGTTATAATGTATCAGTATATAAGTACAATTGTTGGTTGGCCAGAAACAATAAAATAAAAAATAACTGATTGTTATAATAAGTGTCTACTAACCTATCCATATCATTCATCTTCTTAGCAGCGGCTACCAGTTCCAGCCTGGTCTGCGCAGCCAGGTCCCGCCAGCCCTGCTCCTCATACGACCGTAGAGCATCCATCAAAAATACCACCGCCTTCCCAGTCTCCCCCAGCTCAGAGTAGAAAGCGGCCAAATCACGGCCTATTAGGCGGGCGAATCTGGAAAATAAATGCAATTATTCCTAAATAAACTGGTTTTAAGTAAATAACATTATTGTATTATGTGTATTGTGACAACACTACATAGTATAAAACAAAGTCGCTTTCTCCTGCGTCCCTGTATCCCTATGTACGCTTAAATATTAAAAAGTACGCAACGGATTTTGATGCGGTTTTTTAAATAGATATTATTGATTGAAGAGGAAGGTTTTTAATGTATAATAACATCCATTAAATACTGGGGAGATTTAGTGTCAGTATTGCATCCGTGCAAAGTCGGGGTGGGTCGCCAGTAAATTAATAAATGGTTATGAAACAAGAAAACCAGACAAGTACAGTAGTCGTCAATTAAAGTCGTGTACAAAGGGTTCAATATCAAAAACACGTTCACTGTATTATCCCCTTAAATATGTAGTAATTTTTGACATGAGATACAGCCTGGTACATACTGATGGATAGATCGACAGTAGTGTTTTATTAATAGGTTTAAAAGTTACTATTTGGGTATACTACCTACCTAGAGCGAGTTGAGAATATCCAATACACTGAACTTAAGAAAATAATGCAGATTTTTTATTGAAGTCTAAACAAGAGGCTCAGAGGGCGCTAGTGAGCTATAAGGTATTTTAGCACAGATAATTACTTAAACTATCAAAAGTTAACAACAAACAAAATAGTATAAACACTTACCTTAACCGCCCAATATGCTTATAAGTGCCCATAGCTAACTCAGCTAATTCCAAATAGTACTGCTGGAAGCTGGTTTTGCTACACAAAGCTTCCTTCAGTCTGTCAGTGGGTGTAGGCTGTTGGTTATTATTCTCATTGTCTCCCATCCCTGCTGATAACATTACCACAAGGTGCAGCTGTTCTGATGTTGGATCCGGAGAGCCAGGGAGAAGACCGCATAGCTTGCCTAATTCATGTAACTGGAATAATTAGAGTTTGTTTTAATAATTCACCTTAGTATTTATACTGTGACATAATTAAGGATACAATACATTATTTTCATAATTAGATTATTAAAAAGTAAAATTGAAGACATAAAACGGTCATGGCCGAACAGTTGCCATGGTGTTTGTCTCGCAACGTATCGTTTTTCGCACGGAATAACTCATTGAGTTCATACGTTTGAAATGCACTCACTACACAGGAGAAATCATAGTTTGGCAAGGATTTTTATTACAAAATAACTTTTCTAGATTCAGTTTTACATTCAAACCGCAATGGTGTCTACATACTTAAACATAACCTAATATACTAAACGCCAAAGGCGAAAGGGCTAAGCGTCCTCATTATGCTAGATAATTATTGAGCGCTGGTTTCCCATAACTGGTATAACTGTTCTATGTAGCCACCAAACTTTGCAAAGGGCTGGCGCTAAAACAACGTAATGAAGGCAACGCGCCTGCGACTACTCTGGTGTTGCGGTTATCCATGGGCGGCGCTGATCACTTACCATCAAGTACTGCTCGTTTAGCCATCTATTCCATAAAAAAATCGACTCTAAAGAAAAAATATCCGTACTTACTACATACAAATGTTTCATAAGGATAAATCGTTTAACAAATCTTTTTTTATCTTCCTTGGCCCAGAGCCAAGATTAAGAATAACAACAATACTAGCCAAGGGTGTGACAAAGGGGCCTGGCTATGATGATTGATAGAGAAAATACTAATACATAGGTATAGTGTTATCGTCATGTGCGCAGCATATTCTGAATATGACTGTCTCATCAGTGTGGCATTCGTTTCGTGACAACAATTCATTGGTAAAGAGATTTAAATTCTTAGGTCTAACAAAATATTACTATGGCTACTGCAACCTGCAACGTGTCACGGGTTTGATTCACGCAGGCAACAACTTTTAAAAACGGTGCCCCTTATTAGGATTTTCTCCTGTGTCGTGGGTGCGGTTACAAACGTACAATTTCACAGACACGTGACACCTAGACCCGGAACAACAATTCGTGGATCACACAAAGAATTGTTCCGTGCGGGAATCGCACCCGCGACACGTTGCGGGGCAGCCAGTTGCCCAGCCACCGAACCAACCGTTCAGTCTTCGTGTGATAAATGTATAGTACTAGTACTTAGGTAAAATTGTATGTTTGTAGACGCACTTACGATAAAGAAGAGAATCCTGGCGAAATGCAACGTTTTATATAAAAAATAAACTAGCTACTCTCGCGCGATTTCAACCGCTGCTTGACTCTATTTGATCGTAGCGTGATGTTGTATAGCTTATAGCATTCAGGAACATTGTAGCTATCTATCAGTCAAAGAATTTTGGCAATCCGACCAGCAGTTCCAAAGATTACCCCATACATACAAACTTAAAAATTTTACCTCTTTAAAATATGTATTATAAAAAAGAAATTTATTACCTTATCCTTAGCATTGTGCAAAAGTGGAGCTTGGGTGGCAGTGCACATATCGAGAGCATTATTGTTCGCAGCCAAACGTTCGCAAGCTCGCAACGTCTCCGCGCATGCGAGTTGCGCCCAGCACGCCGCAGCGCCCTCTACCGCGGTTGCACCGAGGAGAGATAACTCTACTAATGTGTTGTGTACTGTGGATAGACATCGGGAGGCGATCTGGAAAATAATATGAAGTATTTAAACAGGAACAGAGAAAGTATTAGGATTGATATTTTTTTTATTTGATACCGTAATTTTATAGATATCCGGCGTGAAGCTACGCTTGTGACGAATTTCGGCGTATAAGTGAGATTACCCAAGGGCCAATCCTCTCAATTTCCATTTGCAAAAATCCCCGAAGCCTCAAATCCGCGTCCCCAAAAGGCCGGGAACGCATTTGTAACTCTTTCTAGTTGTGTGTCAAAGACGCCATTTGCTTACCATCAGGTAACCAGCCTACTCCTTTGTCATATCTTTATAATCTGAACTTAATTCGAAATTGAGAAAAATTACACAAAATTCATGAAATTAATTTTGGTGAAAACATTACTACCTAATTATTTTGGTAAGCACCTGAAACAAACTAACCTGATTAACCGAAAAAGACACCCAATAACCATATACATATGTAGTACATTTACCTTTTATTTGACAGTACTGTATGTATGTGTTGTACTGTAAATAAAAAAATAACACCCGCCTACCAAAAAAACCGTCGCAAAGGTACCAGGAAAACACTATAATTGAATAAGCCTACCGCATTCATCATAACATTAAATAACAAAACCTTTTTAGGGTTCCGTAGCCAAAATGGCAAAAACGGAACCCTTATAGTTTCGTCATGTCCGTCTGTCCGTCTGTCCGTCTGTCCGTCTGTCCGTCTGTCACAGCCGATTTACTCGGAAACTATAAGTACTACAGTGATGAAATTTGATGGGAATATGTGTTGTATGAACCGCTACAAAATTATGACACTAAATAGTAAAAAAAAGAATTGGGGGTGGGGTCCCCCATACATGTAACTGAGGGATGAAAATTTTTTTTTCGATTTACATACCCGTGTGGGGTATCAATGGAAAGGTCTTTTAAAATGATATAAAGTTTTCTAAAAAACATTTTTCTTAAAGTGAACGGTTTTTGAGATATCAGCTCTCAAAGTCGTAAAAAGTATGTCCCCCCCCCCTCTATTTTTATAACTACGGGGTATAAAATTCTAAAAAAAATAGAGGTGATGCATGCTAATTAACTCTTTCAACGATTTTTGGTTTGATCAAAGTATCTCTTATAGTTTTTGAGATAGGTTGATTTAACTGTAATTTTGGTTAAAGTTTATTATATTTGCTGCTACGGAACCCTTTGTGCGCGAGCCCGACTCGCCTTGGCCGGTTTTTTTTAATTACATAACAACATTTTTTGTCTACACTTGACCTAGCACAATGTTCAATGGACAGCCACAACAGTAATGATACGTCATAACTCGCCATACATGGTTAGCCACGGGGAAAATATTACTTTACAATACACCAGTATATGCGTAAAGCAAGCTGCATTAACTGAACAGAAAGTGTGATTAAGGATGTTAGAATAACACATCTGCATGTAAACATATCTTCAACCATATCACCTTGATACACGGTTTAAAATATATTGGAGAATGAGTAGCTTGATGAGCTAGTACGCAGAGGAAATGAGAATGATAAGATGTATGTAGCGTGAAGAATGGATAAAGTAAGATATTAATATGATTGAGGATGTTTGAAAGTGATACTTGTAGGTAATCGAATGACAAAATAAGAAAAATCTCACGTTAAGTTTCATTATTATCATTATCAGCCCATAAGTGCCCACTGCTGAGCAAAGGCCTCTTCTCATACGGAAAAGGTTAAAGCATTAATCACCACGCTTGCTCAATGAGGGTTGACGATTTCAAACTTATAATTAGAAATTATAAGTCCAGGTTTCCTCACGATGTTTACCTTCACCGTATGTCAGTGGTGTCTAAATAATCATAGAAAGTACATATAACTCGGAAAAAGTCACATTGGTACTTGCCAGGTTTCGAACCCACGCCCTCATGCATGAGAAGCGGGCTCCTTAACCTCCGGGCCATCACGACATTAAGTTCATGTTATTAGAAGGGATGAAAACCGAAAGCGATTTACTATCTAGATACATTAACAACATCATACACAAACACATCAAACACATGAATAAACCGAAATGAGAATACTTTCTAAAAAGAAGTCGGTTAAAAATCGCTTCTATTTCGCTTGTTCGACTTTTTTATAAGTATGATACGCGGCTTCAAACGAGCAAACTGGTCAACTGGATACTCGCAACATCAGAGGAGTTGGAAGTGCATTAGTCTTTGGGAGTAAGTATTTCAAAATTGAGAGATTTGGGTAAAGGTAGCCAGCACCAGTAACCGAGTCATTGGTTAAAACAATGCAGGGGTAGTATCTCGTCGGCGTCGATTTTCTGCAAGGCCGCGGTACCATTCAGTTCGATTTAGCTCCAGTTGTACTGAAGGATGACTCATCCACACTTCCCACACTGTAAGGTTGACGTATAATGGCTGACCAATCAGCTTTTACGAAAAATACCGCGCGTCTAAACATCGTGAGGAAACTTGGACTTATAAATTTCTAATTATAAGTTTGAAATCGCCAACCCGCACTGAGCAAGCGTGATGATTAATGCTCAAACCTTTTCCGTGTGAAAAGAGGCCTTTGCTCAGCAGTGGGCACTTAGAGGCTGATGATGATCGATCGCGCGTGTTTTGTCACATTCCGACCTACACAACAAACAAAAATTGTTCTTCTACGTAGTTGAGAATGTTGGTTTGTTTAAATTATAAATTGTGTTTGTCAACGAGGATGAAATCCTAGTGTAGGGCAATGTTTTATTCTGCAAATCAGATCACCATAGGTCACTAATTGACTTAAATAAACTTAGAATATAACTCGGAAAAAGGTTGCATTGGTGCTTTCCAGGTCTAAACCTTTGGGCCACTACGACATTACTGAATTACGACTCTTGTAGGTACTTGTACCACGAACAATATTAAAAAAAACAACTAAAATGTGATAGTCATAATGATTTATTTCGCGACAAATATGTCGAAAGCAACGATTTGTTCCGAAATCGATTTTAAAACAATAAAAAATTGGTAGACATAAGTGTTTCACAAGAAATATTGGACAGTAATTGGTTGGTAATTATCGCCAATGGCTGCGTTTATTTCTTTGTGCATGCATCATACTTTATCATTATTTGAAATGTTGTTAGGTTGTGTTATGTCGCAAGAATTGGGAAGAGACAAATTTGTTTTACTTTTCTAAGGTAAAGAATAAGAAAAGTTTTTTTGTATCGATGTCGACTTTTACATTATTTTTTACTGCACTTACATGTTTGCATATCCACAACCTGAGGTGAACGCAAGTGTATATCAAATGTAATTTTAAAACTATTGTCTGTTATTTTTTCATTCGCGTTGTAACCAAGTAATAAGGGGTCTATCTAATGTAGACGAGGCTCGAAATTAATAAAAAAGTAAAAATATTAAGCATTCATACAAATTGTACAGACATACTATATTTATCCGAAGATTTTAGAACGTTTAAGTTAAATTTTAATATAGCACGTAAATTGTATGGCCTATGCCGAATAAGTTTATAGGGAACTTATACATATGTATGGGAGAGCCTAGCTTCGGCACGAATGGGTCTTCTCAACCAGAGTGATATCACCGCCTAACAAAAAACCTGCGTGAAACAACTAAATGAAAGGAGAGGTTGTGTTTCGCCGTATGACGAAACACAACCTTTCCTTTATCCGTAAAAGGCTGGCAACGGACTTGTTATTCCTCTGGTATTACGGGTACGTTGGCGATAAAAAGGCGCTAAGTTAGGTTACCAATTAATTCAGTCATAAATAATCAAAGAGTACAAACATACCTCCCAAGGTTTCGATGAAGGTAGTAACATGGCACTTTGACGTTGAAACAAATAGCTTCTGAAATCCAACAAGGAAGCCTTCTTCTTTATTATCAGTTCTCGAAGGTGTTGGGGTACCAAAGCAGTCAGTCTGACCGCCTGCCAAGATGTCACAGGTTGTCTAAACGTGTCAAGCCATTTCGGACTCTCTGTTAGATTGGAATTGAGCACAAATTGAGAGAACAGAGCGTCTAACTCATCATACTGGACTAGAGCCTCGTCATACAAGCCTAGCATTTCAAGTACAAATGCTAGTTGTTCCTGTAACAAGACATAGTATTAGAAGAATAAAGAAGAAAAGAAAGATTTGGAATCTTATATTAACTATCTATAAATAATATTTATTTCATAGAAACTTTTTGTTTATTTTTTAATAATGACTTAAATAATCAATCAATCTGTACATGGACATTGGTAGTAAAGAAAACGAAGTGCATTATTGTCATACCTGCAAAATAAAATATTTACAAAAATCCCAATCCGGATCATTACGTTTCTCTCGTTGTTCTCTCATGTACTCTTCAAACTTAATAAGAGCTTTATTGTATGCCACAAGCACAAAATGCCTTATCTTTGCTACCAACGACCGCCATGACTCCGCACTTCTTGCTTCGGACTTGATAGGATTTATAACGGATATAAATCTATCTTCTGTCTGTTTCACTCCAAAGTCTCCTTTGATTTTGTCCAAAACCGTAGTCCTCGGCAACAATTTGTTTGTTTTGCGTATATCATAAGTTTCTACTAGCACTATCATCCAATCTGCAATTCCATTTTGCTCTAGTTGTTTCAGCCATACTTCTATGTCTTCTCTTAGAGTTGTTTTGTAATATTCTATGTCCTGATAATAAAAATAAATTTTAAAAGTTAGAGATTGTTGTAAATATTCTTTATACTATGAAAAATTATTATAACATCATCTGTGTTATGAACCTGCCTATGGACTACAATTAATAAATAAATCAATTCTTTTGTTTAACAAGCTTATCCTATATTTAATGTGAATTTGATATGAGTACTTTTAAGCAAATACTTTTTGTGGTTAATTATACATTTTTAGAAACTTAGTGTAAATGGAGTCTGGGCAAACCAGGAACATAGAGGAGAGAAAGGTATCTGGTGACACTACTCACTCAGTCAATATAATTTAGACATTAAACTTTTATTTATTTATATTCCTAACGTTTTTCCATATTTTATCAGCAGTAAAGCAACTTGTTTCGTCAAGAATTCATTCTATATTGTGTATGTGAAGTGTACAATCCTTATAAAATGATACACAGCCAATCCTACAAGGACACTACATCCAGAATAAATTAAATGCATCCCACACTGCAAAGTAGTAGTACACCCAACTTATTGCTAAATATTTATTGGATTAGTTGTTTGTTATTATTATTTTTATTGATTGACATAGTACTGACAATTTCTCTATTATTTATTTGATGTATTGATGAGTATTTTAATTATGGATTATCTGCGATACTTTTATAAAAATAAAATATTGCACATTCTGTATCAATATGCAATATACAAAATATATTATAATTTCACCATATAATACACCATATTTACTATCAGTAACTAATACAGCTAAAATGTGAACCCTGGTCAGCCTCTCAGTAAACTATCAAGTCTTATCAGAATATATTAAAACCTTATCAATCATCAGTTTTTATTGCTATTTCAATATTAACATAGCCATGAATGAATTTTCTAACTTTAGAAATAGATTTTATTAAATATTTTCATGTTATGTAACTAAAATATTTGTTTTTTAAATGAATATTTATTATTTATGAATTAAATTGCCAGCTGGAAAACACACTAATTTATGTCAGGATTAGTCAGCCTATTAGGAAAATTGATGCAGGTGTGTGAGCGAAAAAAAAACCTTTTAAATAACACAAAAATATTACATAGTGAAAAATATACATACCACACAGTCAGTCCAATAAATGTGAAATATTGGCTTCTTCAGTAAGTTTAGCTCATTTTGCACTCTGTCCTTATTAAACTTAGTGAAAGAGGCCTCTAGGTAGACAGACTTGGTAGCCCGGCCATAAGACCGCCTCCACTCACATGAGTCCTGTGGTATGGCGGCCACCAGGGGCGCCTCTAAAGTGCAAAATAAATTCCAATCTCCCGCACCTAGCAATAACATAACAATTAATTTATTAATCCATATAAATTGGATCCAAGGTTTACATAAACATAAGGTGGTAAAATCTTACATGTAATAATCGGTTTGTGTGTCATTCCTTCACGGTCCCCTGTCGCACTATCGACACCCTTCATTTTTCATCTGCTTTTCATCATCAACACAATTCGTCGATTTTGCGGGCATGACACAAATAACAATCCGCTTATTAGCGCAGATGGAATCCACCCACTTATTCACGTAAATTAATTTTCATCAAACATATGGGTACGACAATTATATCGCAACTGCTAATTAACTACGGTGAATATTTTCATTAATTCTCATTATTTTTAACCCGTTTTGACTTTTTTGAAGAAATTAAAAGCGAGAATTTGTCAAAACTCGCTGCTGTCATCACCCAACTCGACAGATAAATGCGTTTCGTTTCATGTTATTGTTGTATAATCGTTTTGTTTTGTGATTTTTTACTTTATACGATTAAAAAGTAATATATATTATTTAATAAAAACACAATAATTTTGGATGGTCTCACTTATTTAAATATATCAAAATATAGACAGAGTACAGAAATTTCTCCTGAGAGAATAATTCCTAGATAGGAGGAAATTCCTCGAATCCTGAATAGTGGTTTTATATCAATTTTATATTGAATGGTTTGACCACGAAGGAATTAATACTTTTCTATGGTCGGATGACTAAATTATGCTAGATTAATCAATATTTTGCTAGATCCATTGATAATCCTAGGAAACATCATTAGTTTTTGTCTAAAGAAAAACTTATAATTATGTATTTTCACGTCATAACTTCTACAATATGCTTTAGAAAGGGTTATAATTTATCTTTATTTTAAATGAAATTCAATAGGACTTTACAAAATTAATTTAAGTATGAAATTTTAAATCTGTGCCTAGAAAGTCTTAGTTCTAAAATAACGATTTTATAAAAAGGAGGTACAGATATTCTCCTTTGTTGGCAACATTTTTCATTCTATCTGTCTATGGGCCGCCAAAATGTCGCTTTCTGTTTTGGTATCATCTCACAATAAAAGAAATTGATTTCAGTAAATTACTCAATAATTTAGTGAATATAAGCAAAGTGATTAAATGCCCTCATTTATAAATATTTAAAGTAAATCTGGTGCATCAATCAGGTAATATCCTACATCCTAGATATCGTAGAAGTAGTCATTTCGCTATGTGAATAATTCCTTTTATTTTCAGTCATAATAACGCAATTTTTTGAGAAATTCTGATATAAATTATGAAATTACTACACTTCAAGACTATTCAAATTCGAGTTTTATGAATATATTACACAATATTTCCGTTAACTGTTATTTTGGAAAAGATTTTTATTATTCTAATCTGAAATTAATTATGTGATGATTAATTTGTATAATTATTATTAAATTCTTATTACTTTCCTGAAATCGATTTTTTTGACGCATGTTTAATAAAAAATAAATAGATTTTTCGTCATATACGGGTAATAACAGTTTCAGTAACCTACAATAAATAAAATTTTGTTCTAAGCCATGAATACTACGGCTCCAACATCGGCGGATGCCTGCCTGAGCATCGTGCACTCGCTGATGTGTCATAGACAGGGTGGAGAGAGTGAGGGGTTCTCCAAGCGAGCTATAGAGTCCCTTGTCAAGAAACTGAAGGAGAAACGAGATGAACTAGACTCCTTGATCACAGCTATAACAACTAATGGCGCACATCCTAGTAAATGTGTAACTATACAGAGGACCCTTGATGGGAGGTTACAGGTATTATAAAACTGTGATTAATTTCATACCAGTCATCATTACTTACACTGTTTGGAGAATGATTCAGTTGTTCAGTAATAATTTAATATAACAATGACATGGAGTGGTGGTAATATGTTCTTTATTTTCAAGTTTAAATTTAATAATCTAAGTAGGTATTTTGAAATTGAGTTATATAAATAAATTATAAAACTTATGGCACTAAATTCTTGAACAAAGTTTTGCAATAAACAGTATAATTTAGACTTCATATTATATGCAGTGGCTTATTACTGGTTGTTCAATAAGCAGCAATATAATACAGATAAAATAGAAAAAAATATATCTATTAGTCATTCACATACATTTATAGAAAATGGTTAAAAGAACTTTATCCCTAAAGAATGCTATATTTCACTAATGAGTATGCATTTTAGATATATCTTTGTAAATAAGTAAGTATGTAAGTATTATAGGGTGTCAAATAGACATATTGGCAATAATTTTGTTTAATAACTATCATGGTCACATGACCATTAACTGAGAGAAGCTCTACTAGTTTCAAGTCACATTGGGACTCTTATTCATAAGCAGCATGCATGTCTTGGCATCTAGCACTTGTTATTATCATTGTCATTGTTAAAGAAATAATGTGTAAAACTGGAAAGTTTGTTAGTATGGAGGGATAGATGGGTGAATGGATCAATGGATTTTTGTTACTCTTTCACATAAAACTAAGAAGGGCAGTAGCTAGTTTAAGAAAAATACAATCAAATTGAGAACCTCCTCCTTTTTTTGAAGTCAGTTAAAACACCTTTTCAATTATATTATAGTACAGTAGCTCTGAATATTTTTAGTGCCAGAACCCTAATGATAATTAAGTTATTGTCTGAACCCATAAAACTAAATGTTAAAGTTATTATTGAATGCATCATAAATAGAAAAGCCACAGAGCTTGACAGACCACATTTTGAGTTTATTTTTTTTTTTTTTTTTAGGCTTCTCAACAATGAGTACACTATACTATATAAATTGTACATTTCTAATTTAATTCTAAGTGCCCCATTACTTATAGAGAAGCATGCTTGCATGAGTTTAGTTGTTATAGTTATAATTTTATTATTTTCCTTTGATTATTACTCCTAAATAGGTGTCTAGGTAATAGGCATGTTATGCCACAACAAATCTGCCAATTTTTATTGCTATTTAGAAATAACTTCAACTTTACCAAGACTGTCTTTTCAGGTTGCCGGTCGGAAAGGATTTCCACACGTTATCTATGCTCGTATATGGCGGTGGCCAGACCTACATAAAAATGAATTAAAACATGTAAAGTTCTGTCAATTTGCCTTCGACTTAAAATGTGACTCAGTGTGTGTAAACCCCTACCACTATGAGAGGGTTGTTTCCCCAGGAATAGGTCAGTATTGCATCTTTCACTTAGGTTTATTGTCTGTACAACCGGTTTTAGACTAGCCTAGACAATAACCTGTCTAGACAGGCCCCCTAGTAAAAGTTAGTGTTATTATTATTATTTAATCTCCAAATCTACAGGGCTTTCACTTCCGCACATTGAGCCTGCCAGTTACATCGAATCTGTCTTACCAGCTACTCAGTCTGTAGTCTTGTGTCCCAATGAAGAAAGAAACATTTTCAGATTTATCAGGCCTCACACTTCAGTCGGGTCCCAGCAGATTAGTAAAGGACGAGTACACAGCTGGTCTCAGTGGAAACGGAATGGACATGGATACTGGTGAGATGGTGACCATTCAGCATCATGCTACTAGTCCTAGGCACCATCATACGCCGATGCCACATCACCATCAGCAGTTCCAGACTACAAATATTATAATTAACCAGGGACAAAGTAAGTGACGGGTTTGTGCTTGTGTTGTTGTGGAGTCTGAAAAGGAATACATTTACATGGTGTAGCCTGTAAGGGATATGAGGATGGAAAGAGCAGTTAGGTTTATAAATCAATCATTTCATTAGATTAGAAATGTTATTTTTCTACATCCCTTTCAGCCTATCTCATTCAGTGTGTTTGTGTGTCGATGTGGTACTTTTATTTTGCATGCATGATCAATTTATTTTGCGTTATGTCGTTACTAGCGCCTGAAGGCGTTCCGAACATGTTTTCGCCGACGCACGCGCCGCGCACCCCGCTGCGGGCGCCGGCGCCCCACGCGCCCCTGGCGTCTCCGATGGGCCACGCCGCGCCCGCGCCGCAGATGTGTGCGCACCCGGGGCCCATGCAGGGCCCCCAGATGGTGCCTGCCCAGTCACCCCTAGGAGGAGGGATGGGACAAGGACAGATGTCTTCCCCGCGGTTAGCTGCAGCGCCCACGATGTCGCCGGCCACCCCGCAAATGCCCTCCATGAACAGGCCCATGTCGCTCCCGAGTCCGCAGCAGATGGCGATGGCCCAGCAGCGCGCGGTGGCCCCCAAACTCGAGCCCCCCGATACGATGGACGCCCGCGCAATGTGGCTGCCTAAACGAATGAATCATTGTAAGCTTTATTCTTTTGATTTGCACAGTTTTTTGATTTTATTCACTTTTATTTCGGTCATTGGAGTGGTAGATTTGTGTTCAGTGAGAATTGTGTTGCGGCATGTATATGCTAAATAAATATGCTCCTGTTGTCTCATATTATTGCAAATGTTCTAGCTGCAATGCCAGTGACTATGTCGCCGGGAGCCACCACACCTCTCATAGATGGCTCGAATTCAACGTTCTTCACGTCAGAGACAACTTCTAATGATTCTTCTCAGCTTACTCAAACTTTGTCTAGTAAGTTTCAAATTTTACGACAAAACGAATAGCCATAATAAGACAAGTCGAAAAAGCCCATGTCTACAGCGCACACCACATTTGTTTGGGTGCTACGCACCGACCTCCCGAGCGGCGTCAGCATTGTCTGCTATGCTGACGACACGCTGGTGCTGGCGAACGGGAGGTCGCATCAGGCGGCGGCCGACCTGATGTCACAAGCGGTTGCGACAGTCGTTGCAAGGATCCGGCAGTTGGGACTCGAGGTGGCGCTCCACAAGTCCGAGGCCATGTGCTTCTATGGCCGTCGGAGCGCGCCACCTCCAGGTGGGTCCCAAGTAACGGCAGGAGGAGTTACCATCGGCGTCGAGTCGGCGATGAAGTACCTGGGTCTCGTCCTCGACAGCCGATGGAACTTCACGGAGCATTTTCGTCGTTTGGCCCCTAAGTTGGAACGGTCTGGGGCCTCGCTGAAGCGGCTCCTTCCCAACCTCGGGGGGCCAAACGCCTCCTGCCGGAGGTTGTATATGGGGATTGTGCGATCCATGGCCCTCTACGGTGCCCCTGTGTGGGCGCCGGACTTGAAGCGGCGGCCGGCTCGTACGCTGGTCGCGTCCCAGAGGGTCATGGCTATACGAGTAATCCGCGGGTATCGCACGATCTCCGGGGAGGCGGCGAACCTCCTTGCCGGATCACCGCCGTGGGATCTAGAAGCGAAGGCGCTCGCGCGCGTCTACAGTTTGCGCGCAGACGCGCGTCGCCGGGGCGAAGATCCTCTGCCGCGCCAAATAAGTGCGTGGCGGAATGAGCTCCGGCGAGATCTCACGGCAGAGTGGAGACAACGACTGTCGCAACCGAGGGCCGGGCACGCTACCATAGCAGCGGTAAGACCCCTCTTTGAGGAGTGGCTTGAGAGACGCCACGGCGTCCTCACCTTCCGTCTGACGCAGGTGCTTACCGGGCACGGCAGCTTCGGTAGGTTCCTGTTTCGGATTCAGCGGGAGGAAACGCCTGAGTGTCGTCATTGTGAGGACCACCTAGAGGATACGGTGGAGCATACGGTAGCGGTATGCCCTGCCTGGGCTGAGCACCGCCGTATCCTCAGGGAAGTGATCGGCGACGGCGACCTCTCGCGCCCGGCCTTAGTCGAGGCCATGGTGCGGAGTGAGAGGAACTGGGACGCCGTCTCCTCCTTTTGTGAAGCAGTCATGCTCGCAAAGAGAGAGGCGGCCCGCGTGAGGGAGCAATCCTCCTCCTCACGCCCCAGCAGCCGCAACTGGCGACACTACGGGCGTCGGGGATCGAGGGACGATCTCCGGCCACCGTAAGTACGGGCCTGCGGTCGGCGAGTAAGGGCAGCTCGCCGCCCGACCAGAACCAGGCCCGAGCGTACGGCGCGTAGCGTTCCGCGCGCGCCTCAAAGAGCCAATAGACCACCACAGACGGGGCCCTAAAGGGCTGATGTTCAGCCGGGGTTGCGGGGTAAGCGCAATAAGGTACCGCGACCTCGGCACAGAGCAGGAGAAGGAACAGGGGGGTTTTTAGTCAGTAAGAGTCTGACACTCCCTCCTGCCCGGCCCTGGGCGGGAGAAGTCATTTGATGATTTTCCCCTCACAAAAAAAAAAAAAAAAAAAAAAAAAAAAAAAAAAACACCACATTTGTTTTATAAAATATATGTATAAAACAGATTCTCATGCAGCGGGCACGGTATCGCCTGGTTCTGGGGAGGGCTCTCAGCAGAACGGGTTCGCAACAGACGGTAGCCCCGCGCCCCAACCCAGCCCCCTACCGCATCGCACGCAGCATCAACAACAACAAGGTATTGTACTAAATATTACTAAAATAATACTTCATACAATTTCTGTTACAGACAAATCACGATCACAAACAGATGGTAAAGCGACATCAATCGGTCTAATCTTGTTACGATTTGAACTTTATCGCTGTTGTGTTATCACATGATGAAACTCTTGACAAAAGTCCTAATGAAAGAATGGTTTAGATAATAGGATGAAAGTAAGTAGGCCGACATAGTGTGGCGAGTTATACCATTGTCCTATTGTACGTTGGAGCGAAAAACGACAGGCACCTTCTTTGGATGGCCTTTTGGCAGAGGCCAATGTTCAGAAGACCAGCAGATATTGCAGTAAGGAATACGCGATTTTTATGGAGATAAATAAATCAGGCCTTTAAGACTTCGACTAAGATCTTCTAGTCTAAGTACTACTGAAAGTAGTAGGGTGGCTGCGACTTCAGTCTATTATTCTAAGAAGACCTTAGCAGTATACTGAATTGGTATACTCTGAAAGTACTGAGTTGGCTGCGACTAGTGTTTTAGTCTCAGATGAGCGTAGCAGTAAACTAAATTGGTATACTCTGAAAGTACTGAGTTGGCTGCGACTAGTGTTTTAGTCTCAGATGAGCGTAGCAGTAAACTAAATTGGTATAACCTGAAAGTACTGAGTTGGCTGCGACTAGTGTTTTAGTCTCAGATGAGCGTAGCAGTAAACTAAATTGGTATAACCTGAAAGTACTGAGTTGGCTGCGACTAGTGTTTTAGTCTCAGATGAGCGTAGCAGTAAACTAAATTGGTATACTCTGAAAGTACTGAGTTGGCTGCGACTAGTGTTTTAGTCTCAGATGAGCGTAGCAGTAAACTAAATTGGTATAACCTGAAAGTACTGAGTTGGCTGCGACTAGTGTTTTAGTCTCAGATGAGCGTAGCAGTAAACTAAATTGGTATACTCTGAAAGTACTGAGTTGGCTGCGACTAGTGTTTTAGTCTCAGATGAGCGTAGCAGTAAACTAAATTGGTATACTCTGAAAGTACTGAGTTGGCTGCGACTAGTGTTTTAGTCTCAGATGAGCGTAGCAGTAAACTAAATTGGTATAACCTGAAAGTACTGAGTTGGCTGCGACTAGTGTTTTAGTCTCAGATGAGCGTAGCAGTAAACTAAATTGGTATACTCTGAAAGTACTGAGTTGGCTGCGACTAGTGTTTTAGTCTCAGATGAGCGTAGCAGTAAACTAAATTGGTATAACCTGAAAGTACTGAGTTGGCTGCGACTAGTGTTTTAGTCTCAGATGAGCGTAGCAGTAAACTAAATTGGTATACTCTGAAAGTACTGAGTTGGCTGCGACTAGTGTTTTAGTCTCAGATGAGCGTAGCAGTAAACTAAATTGGTATAACCTGAAAGTACTGAGTTGGCTGCGACTAGTGTTTTAGTCTCAGATGAGCGTAGCAGTAAACTAAATTGGTATACTCTGAAAGTACTGAGTTGGCTGCGACTAGTGTTTTAGTCTCAGATGAGCGTAGCAGTAAACTAAATTGGTATAACCTGAAAGTACTGAGTTGGCTGCGACTAGTGTTTTAGTCTCAGATGGCCGTAGCAGTATACTAAATTGGTATACTCTGAAAGTACTAGGGTGGCTGCAACTTTAGTCTTTTATTCTAAGAAGACCGTAACAGTGTACTGAATAGGTATACTCTGAAAGTACTGAGTTGGCCGCGACTTTAGTCTTTTAGTCTAAGAAGACCGTAGCAGTATACTGAATTGTTATACTCCAAAAGTACCTACTAGATTGGCAGCGATTTTAGTGTCAGGAAACCAAAACAGTAGACTGACTTGGTATTAGTATTTCAAAAGAGTAGTCTTTTGGTGAACATAGCGGTTGATTCTGCGGTCTTTTAGTGGAAATAACGTGGGAAATGTCTTCTTCAGGCACGTGGACTGGTAACAACACACTAACGTACACACAGAGCTTGGCTCCTCCGCCCGCCGCGCCACCCGTACCCCTTGACGCTCCTCCTCATCATCATTATTGTAAGTTGAAGATACATACGCTTTTAGCTTCCACGAGTGGCTTTATTAGACGGGCAATAACGCGTTCATGAAATGTGTAGCTTTTTGTGAGCCATTTGTAAGGTCTTTCTTGGTTGATTTATTGAAGGTATTGTGTGTTATACTATTTTTCAATTATTGTTTGGTTTTTCAAAATAAAAGAGGAGCTTGGGGCACTGTTACTAGATTAAGTCCGCTTGTGAGAACGGTGGCTAAATTGTCGTTCAAATCTAGAGATTTGGACAGGTAAATGCGCGAAGTAATTGATTATATTTAGCAACGGTCATTAATTGATTTGTAGTGAGGAGAACTTAACATTGCTTTCTATAACACAGAATGACATGAAATATATATATCTGTATCAATAATTTTGATATTTCAGACAATGGTAACCCAGGCGGTCTTCTCTCAAGTCAACCAGCTCCTGAATATTGGTGCTCAGTCGCCTACTTCGAGTTAGACACGCAGGTCGGAGAGACCTTCAAAGTACCATCCAGTAGACCCAACGTTACCGTGAGTATGATCATTGTAAAGGATATATTTCACGAAATTCATATTTCAAATATCTAATCTGACTGAATGAGGACTTTATATTTCTATTAAAACTAGCTGATTCGGCTCTCCGTACCGCCATAAACATACAAAACATAGACATACAAAAATAACATATTAATTAATATTATTAACTAATTACCGGTAGGCTGAATTTCCACGATTATTTCAAGACCAAAATTAGCCAAATCGCTCCAGCCGTTCTCGAGTTTTAGCGAGACAAACAAACAGCCATTCATTTTTATGTACAATAATTTACAATTCTAACATTTCTAATTCTTTAATTACATATCATATATGTAGCAATTTCTCCAATAGTTTAAATAAAAAATATTTTTTCGTTTTTAGGTTGACGGCTACGTTGATCCTTCAGGCGGTAACAGATTCTGTTTGGGCGCTCTCAGTAATGTTCACAGAACGGAACAGAGTGAACGAGCGAGGTAAGAAACAAAAATTAAGTAATAAAAAATATTTTTCAATAAGAACTTAATTCTACCGTCTAATCTTTATCTTATCCAGTTAATTTTAATTAAAAACAAATTAACTACTCCTGGTATTTATCTTGTCTCGTCGTCTGTCTATTTTAATATTATTCAAAACTCAACGACTAGACAAGATAGCAAGGCTTATCTGGTGATATCGCTTGATAACCAAAACTTTGCGTTAAAGATTTAAGAGATAATTATTTTTAGACTAGTGGCCCGTTCCTGCTTTACACGAGTATCCTACTATTTTCACGATGTAATCCTTCAGAACCTTTTCCGGGCAATAACAATTACAACAAAAAAAGAGATTGTCAATATTGGTTCATACGTTGTTCGGTTATGCGCTTACCAACACATTTTGCGATTCATTTTTCTATGTATAGACTTACGTTTATAATAACAGTTATATTTACGTAAATCTTTATACATATATCTTACCTTATCTACCACACCATAGAGTTTAAAAACTTTTTTTTTATATCAGGCTTCACATCGGTAAAGGCGTTCAACTAGACCTCCGTGGCGAAGGCGATGTATGGCTGCGTTGCCTGTCAGATCACTCAGTGTTCGTGCAGTCGTACTACCTCGACCGGGAGGCCGGCAGAGCGCCCGGAGACGCCGTGCATAAAATATACCCATCTGCTTGTATTAAGGTAGTCTACATACATAATTATAAATAACATGCAAGTTAATAGTTTAATTCCTTGTTTTGACCAGTTTTGTTAAGAGCGTAATTCTTATCAATCATATTTTGGCGAACCCAAGGCCTTAAGCCAGGAGCTAAGCAGGTGCTCTGACGCCCGCTAGATCAACTAGTCTATGGTTTAAGAGTTTCTGAGGAAGCTATTTTGTAAACCAAAGAATACACCAGTTTTAAAAAAACATTAGCTATTTGTTAAATTTCTAATATTGATTTCATTATGAAAAAAGACGAAGAGAAATATAAGATTTATTCAGGGATAGTTATGGGTTGTGATGGAAAATGGCACATAGAAGTACATAGTTTATAGTCTTAAATAACACATAAGCTACTTTAATTCAGACAATTCAAGTGCAGCCATTGGCAGAACCTAATATGATAATAATGTAAACAAATTTTCCTTGTCAGGTATTCGACCTCCGGCAATGTCATAGACAGATGCAGTCTCAAGCGGCCACGGCGCAAGCGGCCGCCGCGGCGCAGGCTGCCGCCGTCGCCGGACATATACAACCGCAACATCCCACCATGAACAAGTGTACGTACACAATTACACATTTTATATGTATATTTGTGGAACTCTAGACCACTTACTCTTGTAGGAGAAATGCTTTGGGAATGATTCCCATGTTTAGGTATAATGTAGTTAAAGATTTCAGTTTTAAATCTAGAATTTCTATATAAGTTGAGTTCCGTTAGTTATAATATATGTAATACTTACTCTGTAGGTATATTAATTTGTGTTGCTCTATTACATGCTTGAAGCGCATTGAAGCATATTTTTGCTCAATATATTTGTAGTTTATTCATAAAAACACATTTCTGTTTTATTTATTTTAATTTGAAGTGTCCAGTTGTGTTAAATCATCGGTAGCGTTAACTGCATTAATAGTAGTTCCAAATTAGTCCTTTTTTATATCGTTTGATTAGAAATAGTTATAAAATAATTTTGATCCTTACCCATATTTTCCATAATATCATTTCTGATATTGCAAGATATGTATAAGCATCATCTATTTAATGTATCCTTTCTTCTTTGCGAAGTAAGTACAGTAGACTCCCCAAAGTTAGTAAAATGGCGAGATAGTTTAAAAGCATGTCGCGTCCATGTGTGTCTGAAGTGTTGAATGTCGCAGGTCTATCTGCAGCGGCCGGCATCGGGGTCGATGACCTGCGGCGACTGTGCATCGTGAGGCTTTCCTTCGTCAAGGGCTGGGGACCTGACTACCCCCGCACTTCTATTAAGGAGACGCCGTGCTGGGTCGAGGTGCATTTGCATAGGTTTGTTACATTTTTTATGTTGATTTTCTTATTAATGGTGAATAGCCATTATTTGTCGGTTAATAATACTTTTGAAGAATATTGTCTCTTGTAAAGAAGGCAAGAAGTCATTTAAACAGCGACAGAAATACTCAAAAAACGTGTTTTAGAGATTATAAGCAACTGGTTTGGTTCCACTTTAGTTTTAATGATTTTATTAACATTAAAAGCTCAAATAATATGGTTTTTCTGATATGTTCAATATGTTCAATTTTACAATAGAATTAGAACTAAGTTTCCTTTTCTTAACATCCTCAGAGCACTTCAGCTTCTGGACGAGGTCCTGCACACAATGCCAATCGACGGTCCTCGGAGCACCATCGAGTAGGAGTTGATCGGCTTCTTTTGAGGCCTTCGAGCGACCATAGTCGCCACGCGACCCCACGATAGTGCGAGACGGACGACAGTGTCGCCTAGTGCAGTGAATGACAGAGAGTGACCAGTGACAGTGAACCGCGTGACGTACTACTGACCATTATGGCCCAGTAGTACCTCACACTCTTCATGAAGAGTTGATGCCATATGAATAGCATTTATTTAAGTCATTATTTACAAAATTGTGATCACAAAATTTACGTATTTTGCCTATGTCTTCCAAATTTTATATTTTCGTTTACCGGCACTAAATTTTGTTTATTTCATTTGGTTTTGGTGATGAATTTGTTGGTTTAAGAGAAAAATGTTTGCACCAGTCGTGGATGTGCATCGCTCGTGTAACAAAAGGTGAACTAGTTTATGTCTTGTATCTATTTATACTTTGTAAGTAGTTGCAGTATATAAGTTAATGTAATAGATATGTATAACAGTATTGAGATGGAACAAACTAAAGAACATATAAGGGATCTCAGTAAAATATTTTTCACAAATCCTAAATGAAGATATAAATAAATAATTTAAGATATTATGTAATTATAATAAACAAAATACGGATAGAACGACGTATACAAACATTGTCATTGCTCAAACAGTAAGAGATGAGTTTGTGATTATATTTGTATAAACAAACGAATTTTAGTAACAGCTATACCAAATTATGGCATTTTTATATTAAAGTGTAGTGTAGAGGATATATGACAAGACATAAATGTGGTTCAACTTGAAAGAAGCCAAATGGGAATAGCTTTCTATAGAGATAAGCTATAGCATTGTTATAAGGTAGATTATAGAGTAATTTATGATATCTGTAAGTGTAAGGAGAGAGGGACGAGGCGTGTGGAGGGAAAGGCTGTATTTTTGTTAGCGTGAAGTGTGCCTCATTAGAGGAATTGCATGGACCACTATAGCCGTACGAATACACGCTCACAGTTTTCAGTAAGCGGGTATGCAGTACGGCTGCCGTTTCGTTATTTATTTAGTTGTAAAGCACAGACGCCCATGCAATTTCGCTAAGTCAATAGATGATCTGTGATGTGCTAACAAAACGTGTATAGTATGCGTGCGCGCACTCGAAGTCGGCTAAGGTGACGTTAGATTTTCACAATGTAAAGTGTGACTTTATTATTTTTCGGTAAACCTAGGTGTAAGTTAAAAATAAAATGACATATTTTGTGTATGAGAAACAAATGGTTATAAATATTAAGGTTAGTTGTGGTGTTTTAAAGAAGTATATGAGATTTTTGTCGTTTGCTTAAGATTTGCTTTAATTATTATTACTTGGCAGATTAATGATTATCTTGTGTTGAATGATTTTATACAGCTGTTAGTGTTTTCGATTTTTTTAATCGTAATTATTTTGTTAAGGCGGAAGCGATCGAACTTGTCGATGATAAACTAATATAGTGTTTATTTTAACTCTTACAAAAGAGGATTATGCTTGCAGGTTTTACATAAAATAATCATTTTATAATTAATCATGTTCGATCTACGTTGTAACAAGTGATCATCACAAAATATATTATTTTTGTTATTGCTTAATCGGTTTATTTTATGCGTCGGAATTTTACAATTATTAATATTGTTACCAATGTCTTTGTAAAGATTCGGATTATGCAAGTTTTGTAAATAGTACAATTTATTGAGAATATTTTTAATATAAAGCGAGATGTTGTCGCTAACCTTACAAAGAAAGAAATCGCGAGAGTAGAAAAAAGTATGTTCAATAAAAAAAAAACTTAGTAGGCTTCTTCACAAATTCGTGTATCAAAAATACCTCTTTATAGTGATGACAAAGGATACAAAGGGTTTTAGATGATATTAAATATGTGGTAAGTTTTTTAAATGATGTTGAAGTTTTGAATAAATAAAGATATTTGACAAATTCTACATAGGACAGTTGCCAGATATAGAGAGCCGAATATTTGGATCTCTCGCGTACAATTTATTGTAAAACCATTGACTAACATTATTGGAGATATACCGAAGCTATCCAAAGTTTGAAGACTTAATAATTGTTGTTCGTACGAACATTAATTAACTATGGCTTTTGTATATAAATGCGTCGTATTCTTGTTCTAAACAAGTGATTGTACGTTGTCGAAGTTGGACATTTTCCAGTAAGTTTTGGCGTTCAAGCGATTTAAGATGTTATTGTGATTAGCATAAGGTCTGCCAAGTTAGAACGTGGTAGCATTCTAGTTGATATTAAGGGCCTGTTTCATAACCTTGTAAGTTCCCTATAAATTTTCTTTCAAATTCTATAGTACACAGTGGCTATTTAGTGAAACAGGCTCTAAAAGTTAGTTTTTGCATGATTATTCTGCTTGCATCACACATCAGATGGGAATTACTAGTATAAGCTGATCTTGAAGTGTGTAGATTACACTAGCACTGAAAGTTCAATTTGTATTAGTTGCTTAAGCAATCTGATGCTTGTTTCTTAGTCGTCATAAAACATCTTAAGGGCAAGTAGAAATTATGCAATAACAAACGAATTAATTATACTTGAGTTCGACAACTAAATAGGGTAAAAAATCTTGTCATAAATGTTGTAACAAACAGTGTCCTCGCAATTTTACATAGTAATTATGTGAATTCTAATTATAATAAGAAACTGCCATGTATTTTTGACATTACACGAATATTTTATCACATAAAAGTTGATTTAATGGAGGGATGTAGAATGCACATTGTGTAACGTAGCCTTAAGCGCATAGTTAAGCGGAACTATGAAAGAAATGAATATAAAGGTTATTCCTCTAAAAATCGTTTTATTTTTCCATTATTGCTTTCTTTTTTTACATAAATTCAACCAGGGCACGCTTTACAGAAACCATGGTAAGTCCAACAATTGGGTAGTTTCCTAGGTCAAAAATAAATTAATCCGATGTTTCAATACAATAAAATATTGAAAAATGACTATACTTTTATTCATTGATCGATCGATACACCAAGTTTTAGTTTTTTTAGCTAATTATTGTGAAAAAAGTAAGCTATTTGACGCAAAAATGTTATGACGTCATAGCTCAGTTTTTCATACAAATTTCATAGAAAAGTATCGTTTTTGACGTTTGGATAAAAGTATTGAATTTGACTAGTTGGAAACTACCGTATTGTTGATTATTTTTTTTTTCTTCCATAAAATTAAGTGTCTTATAAGCTACCCACAAAACTGTTGCACTGTGGGGTTGAAGTCTAAAGATTTATAATAAAATTACCAATTTCTAAATAATATATTTTAATTAACTTCTTAATTTGTTCTCCCAGTGTATTTTTTCTTATATTTGTTCTGAAAACACAAAGTAGGTAATCTGTATTTTGTTTTCAATTTTTGTATCTGGACTGATGACTTACCGAAGCTGCTGAAACATCATCAAATATTTCCCCCATTAATTCAGATATGGCATTTTATACACGAGAATGAGACAGAAGAGTCTTAGAAAACAATTTATTAGACCTATCTCTAGAAACAAGATGATCTAATTAAATTCAATAGGAAGCATCTGTGTTTTATATGACGTCATTGCCATCAAAGATTGCGTATTTTTTCCGAACCCCATTTAAAAATTATTAGGTACCTAAGTCAGGCAGTCGCTAAGCTACTGCCGAGGTTGAGTTCGCAGGTTCGTTTTACTGGTCAGTTTTTCAATATTCTTCATTATTATCATCATCACAGTCAATTTGTAATTATTTGTATAATGTGCCAAAAGGATCGCCAATAAGGTAGCTTCCAACTAGTCAAATTCAATACTTTATCCAAATGTCAAAAACGATACTTTTCTATGAACACTGAGTTATGACGCCATAATATTTATGCATCAAATAGCTTACTTATTTCTTAAAAGATATCGAAAATTTAGTGTATTGACAGATTGACAAATAAAAGTATAGGTAGTAAAGAAAATTTTTCAACATTTGTAGTATCAAAACGTCCAATTAATTTATTTTTGATCTAAGAAACTACACAATTCATAGTACCTACTCTCAATAATTGGGGCGATGTGGAATGGCGATGATACATGGAAGATGTGCACGTCTGGGGCCTCTGCCTACCCTTTCGGGAATTGTAAGGCGCGATTTGCTAGGTGAATTGAAAAAAAGAGTAGTAAATACGTAGTTTATATTTCTTGGAAATGTTCAAGGAATAAGAACGAAAGGGTCTTGCTCAGCTCTTTGAGTGTAGATACATACCTACATATAAAAATAGGTTTTTATTGTCATCTATGAATGTCAAAATTTAAGATATTGGGTTCCAAGAACATATTTCTTTGTATTTACCTAAATAATTCTATCAGTCTTTCTAAGAAACTAGAAATATCTTTTTGCAAGAAACTGGTACTTAGATACTTATATTAGTAAGTAAGTAGGTATTCCTATGTATAGTGTACTTGATTTTTTAACCTATATTTAGGCACAATATTTTTGTTAATATATAAAACTTTCTGGAACCTCGAATAATTATTTATACGAATCTAATTTTAGTCATGTGTGATTATTCATAGCGAAATCTGTATTACAAACTTTATTGGCCTTTTACATAAACGTCGCAAAATAAGGGAGACAGCGATTCACTTAATAACTGCCTACCTAATACACAGAAGTGTTTTCCTACTTACTAGGTAATTCTTAGCTGATTGCATTACCAATATGTAAAAAAAACCCGTAACCCTTCTGAAAGGACATAATGTGTATGTTTGTCGCTAGCGTGATTGCTGGTCCATACTGATTTTAGGTTTACATTTTTTTCCGAAAACTACTTACCAGTTGTAGTCCTGTAGCTGACAACATATTTTCAGGACTAGGGTGCTTTTTGGGGGGTTCATCATAAAATTTCATCTCTCGCCGCAGACTCTTACCTATATGTAGGTAAGAGTCTGCGGTCTAAGTACCTACATAAAAGACCATCCCGTTCCTCTTCTTTACTCCAGGTCGAAGCCACGTTAGGCACATTATTATGCTGGTCCCGCAACCCCGGCAGAATAAAAGCCCTATTGGGCACCATCTATGGTGGCTCTTGCATAGGGGTACTGCCAGTAATTTTTAATGTTCAACTTTACTTTACTTCAACTGCAACCTGTAAACTAATGGTGTAATTACTAGTGGTGATAAAAGTGTTAGGTAAGCTCCCAAGATAGAAAATCTACCAACATATACCTAACAGGTACCAACATATAACATGTAACAGGGATTGTAAAATAAGACCAACAATATTGAAAACTCAGTGCTGATACCGACAAAATTGTTAAAAGACTTAGAAGAAAGATTCGCTCATCGTTTATTCCTTGAGACACACCGCATCGTTGGTCACTCCACTATAAATACAGCGCGACTCACTCCCGCAGATCGGCACCATTCCAAAGATCCGAGCTAGTAGCTTTTCCAACAACAGACACACACAAACACACAGTATCATTTCGCAATAGTTGCTAACAATAATCCTCTATATTGTATGTAACACAGTAATATTTTTGTGTGATACTGGAATCGCTAAAACGGCTATTTTCGCGTGTGACCTGCGGTTCGTTCTGAGCCTCTGATTTTTTTGTGCAAAGGCACAAAACTACCGATTTGATTTTTTTTAGTTGTTTCTATGTTCCGATCGAATGGTTTCATTGCCTTTTCTCGTTGATAGAAGTTGGCTTATAGAATTTTAAACTCTCTGATAAATGACTGGGTTAGACTATCATTACTAAAGGATTCTGCTGAATGGCTTGGATCAGCAAGGTCTACTTATACTTAGTTTTAGTTCTTAAATTGCTAGTTTTTTTATTATTGTGTTTGTGTTTGCACACGACAAATCGTGTTGTACGTAGTCAAAGCCATAGAAGACACATTATCTTATACTGTAAGAAAACCTATATCTAATATGCAACTATGTATATATCGTACAAAGCCATAGGCAGTGATGTCTACACAGCAGATTTTTTTCGCCTGGCAAGAAATCATAATTCTAAGAATTATAAAAGGGATAGGTGTGTCGCCGTAATTTTTTCCCTAATCCTTAAGTATCGAAACTCTAATCTCGTTGCCGATAGTTTACCATCAGGTAATCCCTATACTAGTTTGCCGCCTATCTCAGTGGTGGGCCTCGTTCAATTTTCCAGACTAAGCGCTGAATGCAGACGACAAGGCTAAGCACTTTGGGAAATGTAGGTATAGTATAATCAAGTACAAGTGTGGGAGAGCCAAGCTTCGACACGAATGGGTCGGCTCGACCGGAGTGATACCACGGCCTCACAGAATATCGGCGTGAAACAACCCAGCGTTGTGTTTCGCCGTGTGAGTGACGTTACCGGAGGCCCAATCCCTCCCCTTCTCCTATCCCTTCCCGTTCCTTTTATCCGCAACCCCTATCCCCAAAAGGCCGGCAACGCACTCTCCACCACAACTCATTTGGTGTTGCGGGTGTCCATGGGCGGCGCCGATTGCTTACCATCAGGTAATCCGTCTGCTAGTTTGCCGACTTATACCATAAAAAAATCTTAAGTCTTATTATATAAGTAGCACAAATGAAATCTAGATTTTGAATGGTTTGCATGAAAGACAACCAAGACTCAGTTTAAACAACAGTCAGTTAAAATATTTGAGAACAGTAAAACAAGGATAAAATATTTACAAGTTTTAGTCTGTGGAATGGTGTGGCGGGAATATTCCAATATAAATGTTATATTTTTAGCAACCGAGGCCGGCCCTGTTTACATGTTTTTCTCTTTACGAAAGAGTTATTTCACAGCTTACCCAAACGATTGCCATTGGGTATTTAGTTTTTTTTTGTGAAAATGTCAGAAAATTCTGTTAAGTTCGTTTTGAATTGGTTTGGATTTGAAGCACTGTTTTTAAAACTACTTTAAGGAAATGCACTCGTTCTAAAGCATTAAAGGTTAATACATTTGTCCTTGTAAAAGCAGACCTTTAGATAAAGCGTCTTATAACCCAGAACCTTTTTAACGTTGATCTTCTAAATTGAAGGTAATGCGTGAATGATGACAAAGTTAAGAAGGTCTCCAGACCGGCAAAAGTTCTTCAAGGGCTTGTAGGATGTCTTTTTAATAGAAGCAAATAGCGAAATGACCATATCGTGTTCATGATGACTTGTTTCATCCCAGTAAATAGTGAGCATAAATCTATAATACTTAGCCTTGTAGCTTTTGGTACATTATATTGATGTAAATCACCAGCCATTTTTACACTCAATTTACGAGTTCCCTGTTATAAGAGGCCTATTCGGCCATTTCTTAACTTCGGGTGCCTTGAAATTGACTATAAGTTTTCGGGCTAATTCCGCCCTAATTAGTGCAAATGGTAGTGTCAAAATCTTACTATCTAGAAGCACCTAGTTCCTTCTGCTTCGGACCGGGACACGCGGTTATTGAAGATAGAAGTTTTCTTGCTTGCCAGTCAAACTGTATGTTAAACAGGAGCCCGTAGACATTTTTCTTTTAAACCCAAAATTATCACACTTCGTTTGAAGTTTGACAAGATGGCTCTCTAAATAGAAAGTGGGCCGCTCGTTTTATCGCATTACTTTTAAACAACAGCGTATTATTTACACGGATTTAAATAAGTGTTGTCAAGTGTTATTCTTTTCTTCGAATGTAAACTTATTAAGCTTTTTATTTTTGTTTAAAACATCAATTGAATTGAGGTTAAGATGACGTTTCGCAGACACTCGCACAGGATTTCGTATTAAACGAATTTCGTAATCCCGCTTATGTCATTTGTTTTTTTTTAAGAAAAAGAAAAGAAATAATAATAATTTAACTGTTTGCCGCTAGCAAACAGTTAAGTTATTATTATTTCTTCTACCACATGTCTGTAATGTATTTGTAATGCTTTATTTTTATCAGTTGTTTTATTGTGATAAACCCGCCACATTCTCTCTGAACCACTGCAACTCCTATGAGCAAGGATACTAGCTGCAGTCGATACAACCATAACAACACCGAACCACTAAAGTCTGGCGTGTCCTGGGCTACGTATGCCTATCTCGGATCTCGTAACGAAATTAATCAGAAAATGATTCGAGAAGGAGAATAAAGAAATTAATCAGAAAATGATTCGAGAAGGAGAATAAAGTTTTGCCATTTACATATTTGTAATGTGCCACCTTGATAATAACTTTAGGAGAAAAGAGAATTTTTGAAAACTCGAAAACCAAAGACTGTTGTGGACTAATTTACCACAGACCTTAAGCACAGTCTTGTTCAGTATTTGCAGTATTTTGCGGCTTGCTACAACACCCTACCTATACAAAAAAAAAACGTTTAAACAATCTCAGCAGTTTAACCTTCATCCATGTTATTTTCGTTTCATGTCATACGCACGTCCTTGTCGGTATGAACCTTGTACTACACTAATAGATCGATACAGGCATACAGGTTGCTCATGAGTCATTGGGTCACTTTGAGATTGGCACACGGCATTTCCGACACGTTTATACTGCAAATAAACATGTATTTATTAATTTGAGGTTTCTTATTTTTTTGGTTTTGCCTGAGTCACTTTTAAACGCTTTTTTAACTTTTTTGGTTAAATTTTGAAAAAGGTCAGGCTTTATTTTGGATTTATAAAATTTGTCTACCTTATAATAGCACCTACTTGGTCTACTACTACCAATTGTTTATTTTCTTAGTTTGAGAAAAGAACCGATGACGCAACGTATTTCGAAATGCGTAATTGTACGATATGGCAGTGGCGTTTTGAGATATGTAGGACTAGCTACACTCGCGCGGTTTCACCCGCTGCACGGCTCCATTTGATCGTAGCGTGATGTTTTATAGCCTATAGCATTCAGGAACATTGAAAATATATCTATCAGTGAAATAATTTTAGCAAATAACTTACAAAGTTACAAATTTTGCCTCTTTATAATATTAGTATAGATAAGAGTTTTTTTATAGATCAAGCGTATTGTCGAATGCCCCAAAGAGCCACCAGACAATCACAAAAGGGCCCAATCAGTGTTGCTTAATGTACCACCCCAACTTGGAGCAGGAGAAGGATAGCGGGGTTTTTGAGTCAGTAAGAATCTGACACTCACTCTCGCCTCATTCAGGGCGGTAGTTGTGTTGAATTGATGACTGGGAAAGTCAAAATAAGCCTATTGTCTAATCAATATATTAAAGGGAGTCTCCCATTTCTAAACTGAGAAGAATTCTAGTCCCCGATTGAGAATTTCTAATTGAAAATGAAAACAAATTCAAAAATACTTATGTTTTTTTTTGCAGAGTTTAAACTCACGCATGGTATTTGCTACTATCAAACAAGGAGGCATCTTACTTATGAATTTATTCACACAACGAGCTATGAGTAGGTAACATAATTTCAGGGTTGCGTTGCTTACGTTAACAATCGTATGACGAATCTGCCATTTCATAAATAAATTAATGATTGAAACATTATTTTAGACGATAACTTAAACGGAGTGATACAACGGCCTCACAGAATACGGGCGTCAAACAACATTTATGTTGTGTGTAGTGAGATTTACCGGAAACACTATTCTCTCTCCAATCCTCAATTTCCAAATCCATCAGACCTTCTTCGTTAATATAAGGAGAAATCTACTGAAAGGTTTAGGATTTTTGGTAGAACTGTAGAAATACTTTAAGTCAATATTTTATTCAGACGGAAATGAACTGACTACCGACGAAACTGATCTTTTATAGCAGGTTATTACTTGACAGTTTTGCCTAATCACAACAACTGGGTAACAGTGTTTGTAATATTAGGCAGGTACTTATTACACCTAGTATATATACTATGGTACATATTACACCAATTGCTGTAGTACTTATTACATTCCTTTTTTTTATGTAATAGCTCGGCAAACGAGCAGACGGATTACCTGATGGTAAGCAATCAGCGCCGCCCATGGACACTCGCAACGGAGGAGTTACAAGTGCGTTGCCGACCTTTTAGGGATTAGGGATTTGGAGATTTAGGGATTGAGGACGGATTGGGAAAGGAGAAGGATTGGGCCTCCGGTAACCTCACTCACACGGCGAAACACAACGCAGTTGTTATTTCACGCCGGTTTTCTGTGAGGCCGTGGTATCACTCCGGTCCATTCGTGCCGAAGCATGACTCTCCCACACTTTAAACTGTTTACTGTAAAGTTCCTTGAAGCGAATTAAATCCGTGTTGTTGAGTCTGCACCAACGATTGTATCTTTGTAAATATAACTCCTGTATTTACTTATAGAAAAATGATGAATATAAAGATATGAGTAAGTGGACTAATTATAATCAGGGATTTGCAAAACATTGGTGTACGCGGGGCGGCGGGAAACAAGTCTGCGGCCAAAGCTACAGCGAGATTTTTCATGCGTAGTGAGAGGCGTCGGAGAAAATATTCGTAGTGTCGATAGAGTTACTACTGCTAGCTACGAGTACTTTACTACTTTTATAATACAATATTTTGTATATTTTTAGGATGCTACATTGTTTTTGAATTTTTACCGTTTTTTACTATTGCTACGAATTTTCTTTTATAAAAAAAGTATTTTGTATATTTTTAGGATGCACAGTAAAGTATCAACATTCTTTTCTGAAAAATGAACCTTAAAATTTTAACGTGTTTGTAAGTTTCCCTTCTCTTAGTAACCTACCTACTCTATTCAAAACAAAATAAAGTTTATTTTTAAACTATGATACTAAATTATCTCACCTGAAAAGATAACAATTATTGGGACTAATAAAGCTTTCATTTAAAAACGCAGCAATATTTATTAAACACAATAATTTACAAAAATCGAACAAAAGATATACATGGTTTATATATCACCTTTTTTATTGAAATCCCTCAACGACCTTCTTAATTCAAATCCCGAACAAAGAACTTAGTAGACATGACCTCATTAATCGTCATCCGCGCTGTCGTAAAATCCAGCCAGTTATCGTGTTCATTTGCAATAATCAGAACGCCAATGTTTATCGATATCGGTGTTTGTGGAGTCCCATCACTAGTCTGTCGTGAGTGGATCGCGCGGGCGGCGAGCTGTACTGGCCGGGCGGCCGGCATCACTTCCGAACGAACGAACTATCCCACTCGTGTGCCGTGTTTACGAAACCCTGCACTATCCTGTACAACCCTATTCAGAAAAAAATATTACAACAAAACTTTTGGTTATAATAGTGCTGTGCTGACCGATTTTGGATTTTTTTAATTAGGGTAAGTCTATTTTTGTTTCATACGACGTTCTATTTAATACATTTGTAATGAAAAGTTATTAAATATAATAGTAGTAAATGATAATTATTGTGTGTGAAAAGCTTTTTTGTCAAATTAATACTGAATTTCAGTCAAGGTTTCCACTTGTAATATCTAAACTCTTATCTTACTTAAGTTAGTGACAAAATATATACTTATCAACGTAGTGCGTTATAAGATAAGTAAAATAATTTCGTAAAACTTTCTCCTTTCTAATTAGATACAAATAGCATTTGTGTAAAATACGCGGAAAATACTTGCCCTAATATAATGGAACTCGCATGGAATGATAGATCACAATTTGAAGTCAAATGCCGTGGACACACGTGGACTATATTTATGAAATAAAAGCTACATACATATACTTATACTAAGCAGAAATCTTTTATAAACATTAAGAAATATTTTCTTCAGTGTAATATTAGTTTTTCTATATATAGTTGGCAATAAAATATAAAAATACTTTGTGGACATGTGATCTAGATATCGCGTCACGATTGGTGTTAATACTTTGGCAGAAGTAGTTTTGTATATTTTAATAAATATAATATAGTATATTATCACTAGATACATACATAGTATAAAACAAAATCGCTTTCTCTGTCTCTATATCCCTATGTATGCTTAAATATTTAAAACTACGCAACGGATTTTGATTTAAATAAATACAGCGATTGAAAATGACGGTTTTATATGTATAATGAAATCGCTTTATAAAGAAAATAGTCCGTTTAAAAATTGTTTTGGTCAATTTAAGTGGTAATTGTTACATTGTTTTAAATGAACGTTCCATATAATGATACAAACATATTATTCAACCACAGCCTTATTAACTAAAGGGATACACAGAGGAAGATTATGCTTCAGCACGATAGTTCGGCCTGACTGGAGTCAGTCCTCGCCTCGGCCTTACTTAAAACTGTCATGGAACGACGCTTGCGTTGCTTTTCGCCATGTAAGTAGCCGGGTTCCCAATTAGTGCACTTCTTTTCCAATCTAAAGCTTTAAAACCTAGCAACTTACTCTTTATAAAAAAAAAGATCAGTAAAGGAGCAGACCACTCGACGATAAGTAATCGGAGCCCATGGACACCGAGGAATTGCAAATGCGTTGCTAGCCATATGGGGATTAGAGCTGTGAGCATTTAGGGATAAGGGGATTTGGGGCACTTGTAACCCCTCTAGTGTTATTTGTGTCCAATGGACGGCGGCGATAGCTTACCTTCAGGTGACACGTCATCTAGATTACTGTCCTATCCAATAAAAGAGAAATAACAGTAACAACAACTCGATTTTTCAATACACCATGACAGACTTTGTCCTTATAAAATAACAATAAAACATTCAAGAAGATCTAGCAATTTATACTGGAATAAAGTTTGTTGTAAAATTAATTTATAGTGTTCTAGCATTGTCTGTCTGAAGTTGACCTTCTATTGGGTACTGTGGTACCTAGATATATGATATAATCGACGCGTGCGCCGATGTGTAAGCTTTATGACTAATTTTATGTACGTGTATTGGTTGAATGGAACAAAGGTCTGCGTTTTTTGTAATAATTAGGTGAAAAACAGAGGATAAGAAATATTTGCTGTATCATATGTTTGGTTAAAATAAACTAGTTAAAAATTGAATATGGAGTTTCTGGCTCGTTCTTCTCCATTCGAATCTACAATTTGGAATGAGCACCTAGCTTCACTGACAAACGAAAAAGTCACCAAAGGAGTTATGATTGCATTGCCGGCAATTTAGGGATAAGGCTTAATGTGGAGGGCTAGGGATTGGGCCTCCGGTAACCTCAGTCAAACGGCGAAACACAAAGCTGTGGTTGTTTCACGAAGATTTTCTGTGAGGCCGTGGTATCACTCCGATCGAACTGATCCATTTGTGCCGAAGCTTTTGCCGTGGTATCGCTCCGGTGTAAATATAATTTAGGTGATTATAATATTTCTATTAATTGTTTAGAAGCTATCATTAATTTGTTGACAATTTATATTACTTTGTTGTTGTTGTTGTTTATAATAAGTATGGTTAGTTAATTAAATTGTTTAAAAATATAATTAGTCCATTATTTGTTAAGAAAGTAAATATTGAATAACATGAGTGTGACACTATTCAATAACGGTATTAAGTAGTATTTATATTGCCTGTAATGTCACTTTACAACTTTTTTTGTGATAGATAAAGAGAATCGGTTGCGTTTCAGACTTGTATTTTTGATATCATCGCGCTTTTTAACCCCGAAGTGGTTAGCAGAGCTGGTGTCCATAATTGCACAAACATAATGTTGATACACCCATTTTACACCAGTTATCTATTTACGACCTATTGATGTATATAAATACACCTGCTTTGCTCAATTATGGTCACATTATTTCGAAAATATCTTAATATTTTTTTATTCTTGCAATAAACTAGTGCTTGACTGCGATCCCACCTGATGTTAAGCAGTGATGCAATCGTTGATGGTAAGGCGCACTAGTTTATTAAGAGCCTATTCACTCTAGCCTTGAAGACACCTAAATTGTATTCGGACGGAAAGACTGCAGCCGGCAACCTGTTCCAATCCCTCGATGTACGCGGTATAAATGACGAGACAAAACGCTTAGCCCGGGCCGCAGGTGTCTCAACAACGTAGGGGTGGATATTCGCCGTACGCCGGGATGTCCGAAGGTGAAATTGGGATGGTGGAATCAAATCGTGCAATTCCTGGGCACACTCTCCAAAATGCATCCTGTAGAAAGCCGCAAGGCTGGCTACTCTGCGCCTGTGCTCGAGACTTTGAAGATTGGACCCAGCCAAATCTGGATCTCCAATCAGCCTCTTTGCACGCCTTTCCACTGAATAATATTATTTTACCTAGACCATTACAATCGCATCTGCAACTATCGACTTAACGATTCAGTCTTCATGAGGCAAATTACCGTTGGTCAAGTTTAGTTAATTGAGTACTTTGAGCAACTTTCCCCGGCTTAGCACGGGTGCATTGTTGATACAAAATTTCTCAACTATTTAAAGGATCTTTATACATATGAACCCTCCTCTTCAATCGCTCTATCTATTAAACAATATCGCATCAAAATCCATCGCGTAGTTTTAAAGATTTAAGTACACATAGTGAAAGGACATAGGATAGAAACAGGGAAAGCGATTTTGTTTTTTATATTATGTAAGTACCTAGTGATGATTACAACTAAGTTATCCAAAACCACATGAAAATAAACTATACTGATTTTCCTTTTTAAAACAAATACACATCACACTCAGACTCGGTATTATAATTTTTTGATCACACCAAGAATGGCTTCGTTCGGGAATCAAAACTGCTACAAGCCGCCCAGGAGACAGTTGCCCAACCGTGCATTGAATTCTCGTTGTTTATATCTGTTTGTGACCATCTAAATCCGAAGCGATGAGACAACATGATGACCGCTGGGCTTACGTGAATCGTCGCGTGTTTGTGTGTGTGTGTGTGTGTGTGTGTGTGTGTGTGTGTGTGTCATTTATTCATTATAAAGCGTATATTTATACGACATTGTCATTGCTAGAGACATTTCAACATTATGTATAAGTCATGTCTTTTTTGGAATGCGCTAGTCATGTCGTTAAATCTTTTCGCTAAGTACATAATCATTTTTTTTAAACATATTATTAGGTATATTAAACAAAGCCCCATTTAACTCTCACACGGTTTACCTATTGTTAAGCAATTGGCGCCGCCATGGACACTCACAACACTAGATGTTCGTTACTAGTGCCTTGCGTTGAGTGCATCGCCACTCTTTGAGACTGAGAATTTGCGGTTTTTGGTATTTGGGGATTTGGGTATTTGAGGATTCGGGTGTTTGGGGATTTTGGTATTTGGGTATTTGGAGGATATGGGGATTTGGGTATCTGGGGGATATGGGTTTGGTGATTTAGGCGTTTGAGGTTTTGGGGATGGGGGACGGGAAGAAGCAGAAGTTGGGCTTTCGGTAACCCTTCTTACCATGGTTTGGCCGTGGCATCACTTTGATTGGAAGTTTTGTAAATAAAGTTCCGTAAATCTATTGAACAATTTTTATTGTTGGAGATCTCAAACAAACTATGTACTTTTGATTTAATTGAATAAATAAACTACTTAAATGCTTATCAAAATGAAATGATTTTCTAAATATCCTAATGAAATGACAGTGACCTTCTCCGAAATTTCAATAAGACGCGAATGAAATATTTTTAATCCGCTAGCTAAACCACTGCGACATTTTGAAGCACCAAGTTACTTAAAGTAGACAAACATAAATAAAATTAATCAATTAACCAATTACCCAATTTATATGGATATTTACATTTTAAATAACATTGGTAGGTACAAGTATACACAAAATAATTGACAGACCACAATAAATGATCGATCTTAATCCAAATCCTTTGCTGTTGTCAAACTTCAAACAAAAATCGATTTTATTTCAGACACTACGGATTGCTAAAAAAGTATTTTTTTAAATGTGAAAGAGCCATTTTACGGTACAAATAGGCGGGATCGACCGGAGTATTAACACGATCTATAAAAACGAAAAATATAAACTTTTTCCTCCCTTTTTTTTAATTGACACTAGAAATGACAATGTTGGCGTAGTGGCTGGGCGCCTGTGCAAGTTCGATTCCGGCATGGAACACAGATCACATTTCGTGTGTGATCCGGGAATTGGTATTTCGATGTGGTTGGTTTGTGTATGTTAATTTTGCAAATGCACTCACGACCGAGAAGAAAATACTTAACAACAAACAACTTCAAACAAAATTAAAATAATAGCAAATTACTGTATTTTGGGGGTCGAGATGAACTTAAACTTGGTTGAAAAATAAAATCTAGTCTCGACCTTTCAGGGAATAACATAGATTAAACATAATTTGGTAGTTTCTTAGGTCAAAAATAAATTAATTCGATTTTTCAATACTTACAACAAAATATTGAAAAAT